CACGCTTCAAAATAAATTACATATTAATCTTGTTCAAGGCTTTTAGAAATTTCACCCCTGTGATGACCATTTTTGAAACATGCCCTGTTGCGTCTTTCAGATAAAGCATTTATTATATTGGTGTCGGATGTACATTTTTTGGTGTCGGACGTACACGTCCAAACTGACTTTTCAGAATAGAAGGTAATCAGTTCAAACCCAAGCTTGTCTCATTTTTCTACCTTCATGAAGGCTTTAGCAAACTTTCCAAACCAAAAGAGAACGCCAAGCCATACAAAAATTATCAAAAACAACTAGAAAGGAATTGGATAATGAGGCATTCAATGAAACAGTATGAAGAAAAATATTGTCTAGAAATGTTTATGCAAATTTTGCTCATTTGAACAAGTCCTGTACTGTCAAACATTCAAACTAAAAAAAAAGTTTTCTACAGTTGGCAATCCTTTATATAAATAAATCAAATTAAAAGACAATTGCATACATGTACCTGTAAGGTCTTTTGATCTTAGAACACGAAATTAAACAAATGCTGTGTGTGTACTAAGCTGCAATTTTAAAGATTTCCAGTTCACACTTCACAGGTTATAGTTCACATGTAAAATCCAAAAAGAAGCTAAATGAGTAGATGTTTATGTACCCTTTTAGATGATTGTACACGTATACAACACCTAGAACTTTACTTGTCTTCATCAAAGCTCACACTGACATGACTTACTTCTGAACACATGCAAAGCACGTTTGTCCACACATGACACATGTGGAATGGCTTTGGGCCCTAATTATAACCTTATTAGGATGTGTATGTCCAAATAGTCAAATTTATGCAAATTAGTAAAAAACAAAAGTGGAGCATTGCATTGCCAGCAATGCATGGTTCTGACAGTGTCGGATGTACAGGGTGTCGGACGTACACATCTGATTCCACAATTTTTGAGTATTTGAAAAAATAATTGGGGAGTTAAGTTGAGGTCTAGAACGAAGGAAATGATTGTGTTTTGTATTGTAAATTTGGCAGTCTTTTGCTAAAGTGTGCACTGAGGGAATAAAAAACTATGTCATTTTGGTGTCGGACGTACATAAGAAAAGTGTTATAAAATAAGACATTACATAGAATTTCAAAATTTTCAAAATGTTACCCACCCGAGCTGATACTGTGGCCCCCTTAATGCCTGAAGCTAGCAACACAACTTTTTAGCCCTTTTTTCAGGTTCAGCGGGTATATAATTATACATGCATGCAAATGAATGGCCGTGGTGGAAAACAGTATGAGCAGCCCATTGAAAATGCACAGAACAAACTTCAGAAAATTTTTTGTATGCACATAGTCTTAGCAATAACTTAATGGGCCTTACAGTGGGTTGTGTCATGTAAAAAATAAATCAAACATTTGATTTTGCCCCAAATGCACAATAATCATAATTCCCTTCCGTGTGTGTGATTCGCTTTGTGATTCAGGTACCATGTTACCAATATACATGAATCTTATCGCAAATAGCTAAAACCAGGCACAACACAAAGCACTGTGGGTAAAATTGTGGTTTGAGCTGAATCGGCTGTACGTACATGTACCCGTATGTACCGGTGC